AAATTTATTGTCATTTCCAAAGCATGACTCACTCAAATATTGAAGACTAAAAAGCAATGTCAACAGTCATATGTCAATACAATATGTAAATCAATCAGAGTCACTATCTTCATCATTTTCCGAGTTTGTCACGAGGCAAATGGTGTCTCCAAAGAAAGTACATGTGCAGACAACATGAAACTTTAGACTGCAGAAAATTGCACAAGCAGTTATCAAACTCATGTCACAGAAGTGGTAAAGGACATGTGTGACAACCGAATGGTATCCTTTTGTAAAGTTTTTGGCCGGGGGTGGGTATTTATTTTTTAAGTGATATTTGAGATCGGTAAAAAAATTTCTTTCCTTTTTATGGTTAGATCAGCAAAATTTTTACCGAGAAAAACTTTCTCTTCGGTCGGCCAGGGAGTTGCGTGAACTCCACGCGGGACTCAGCTCGAATTTAAATGACGTCTTGCGTGACGTCCGCGCGCGACGAGAACGAATTTGAAATTAGTCCGATTGTGCAAGGTGAGGTCGATCAGCGAAGGTTTTAGCGAGGCAAATATATAAATATCTTTATATTGATGTCATATATTGCCGGTTCGTGGAAGATCTAAAGCATCGGCGAATTCTACCGCTGTTCGATCGTTTTTATTTGCTTTAAAACGTGTACTTCATTGTTTGAAATCGCTGAGAAATTTACATAAATTGTCACAACATTACAGCAAAGGTCACGACAGGTTGAAGACTATTGAATCAGTACGTGTTATAACAAGCCGGAAAACTTGAATGCCAAAGGATTAGATATTGGCAAGTCTTGGCTAAATCTAAAGTTTTTTCGAGGAAAGAAACGTCTTCAAAACTTCATATTATAGAGCTGTTTTATCAAAGGAATCGAGAATCTAAAGTTTGCCAAAAACTCTAGTTTAAATAATATGTATGCGTAGACATCGATCTTTCATATACAGTGATTTGTTATTATATTTGGTTGTTATGCTGTGCTAGACGGAATATCACATCGTTAAGCCGCTGGAATTTGTAGCCAGACAACATAAAGGCTTCGTGATCGCATCTTCACGCTGGAATTTTATCGATTTTGTTTTGAAAGAGATAATTAATTCATTATTATGGAATAATAACTCAATCAACATTCCTATACAGTGATACGAATTATTATAAAATTTATATAAAATGGATCAAATTTCAAATGGATCGATTAGCCACGAGTCGCCTGTCGAAAATGGTTCGGTATTAAACCGGAGTTCTAGCGAGCCTGAATTGGGTATCGTGGTTAAGGCGTGTGCTAATGTGGCACAGTCCGTACCAATGAAAGTTGATTCGAAGTCGTCATTATCGTCGGCTTCCTCGGGAGAGTTTCGGCAAAGGGCCGCCACCCACGGAGGGTCGACGTCATCGATGAAGAAACTCGCCATGCTTCGGAAACAAAGATTGGCCAAAAGGTACAATGTGTATTAAGCTTTGTAACATAGGCTACCCTACTTCCTGATTTTATACCTGTAGCTAAAAGCCGCTGGGGCGTTAACCGGACTATGCCCAACAGGGAATAATATTGTGCTTCCAGTTCCAACAACATTTTTGTGTTACATTGTGTTATAAGGCATACAGCTCGCAACAAACCAGTTCAGCAGTTAACCCATTGATATGGCTATGCAGTTAACCCATTGCTATGTCTGGCAAAATAATAATATGAGCTGCATTGTTTGGGTTAACCCTTTAAGTGGCAATGCTCCCTACTTTATTATTTTACTCTATCTAACACCAGGCAATTTTACTTGGTCAGGGGGAGAGTGCTGCCACTGAATGGGTTATAATCCGACTATCTGCCCATGCACCCTGTTAACCCTTTAAGTGGCAATGTGCCCTACTAAATAATTTTACTCTGTCTAATGCCAGACCATTTTACTCATCATGGGGAGAGCGCTGCCACTCAATGGGTTAATGTGCGTGTGTGTGTATTCGCAACTGTTCCTGGTTACGCCTAATAAATGTATAAAATTTATACTCTTTCATCTTACATTATTTTCATAGTCCGTCGACATACAGCGAAGAGGATAGTAACTTGGATGGTTTGACAAGAAGATACAGTCAGGATTTGATGAAAGCTCATGCTTTTGACAAGCTACAAGAACAACTGAATAAGGCGCAAGAGGTGAGATTTTTTAACACAGTCGTGTAACTTAACTAATTTTATTAGATAAGGAGGTAGGTTTATTAAGACATCAACATTAGTTGCCCGGAGTAAAATTCAGGTCTACAGTAGTTTTCCCCTGGCTAACATGTTAACAAAATTTGTAGCAAATGATTTCAGTACAGATTGATTAATCAACATGTTAATCTCATGCTTTCCTGAACAAAATCATTTGAAGATTAACCCATTGACTCACATTGCGCTGATACGCCCTACTTTATTATTTTACTCTGTCTAACGCCAGATGATTTTACTTGTCAAGGGGAGAACGCTGGTGCTTAATTAATGGGTTAACTGGCCTATCTGCTAATGTGTCTAGTTAACCCATCAAGTTGCATTGCACCCTACTTTATTATTTTACTCTGTCTAACACCAGATGATTTTACTTGTCAAGGGGAGAGCGCTGGTGCTTAATTACAGTGAAAATACAAAAAGTGTCCCACTTCCGCTTCTGTAGTTTGTTGTGATTTACTGTAATTTGTTCTGTTTTTCTGTAGCGATTACCGATTTATCTGCAAATAGTGCGATAAAATTTAAATTTCGTACCTTTTATGCAATGAAACTAACGAAAAATGAATTATTTCCCTTTGCTACAAATTATCATATTTAAAAAGTAGAGAAAACTAAGTTTTATCGCGGTATTTGCCGATAAATCGGTAATCGCTACAGAAAAACAGAACAAATTACAGTAAATCACAATGCACTACAGAAGCGGAAGTGGGACACTTTTTGTATTTTCACTGTAATGGGTTAACTGGCCTATCTGCTTATGTGTCTAGTTAACCCATCAAGTCGCATTTCGCCCTACTGTATTATTTTACTCTGTTTAACACCAAACAATTTTACTAACATTGGACCCCAAACATGATAAGGCAGGCTCTGAGCTGTGTTTAGTCATCACTTTGGACGTAATGTACCACAATAAATTAATGTTTCTACTTGATTTTGTTGTAAATTTAGGAATTGAAACTAAAAGATGAAGAGGTGGTAAAGTTGTCCAGTTTACGAAATGAACTCGAGTCTGAACTGGAAGAATTGACAGCAAGTTTGTTTCAGGTAATGTAATTAATTACTGTAAAATCTGAATATAAGCCCACCCAAATATAAGCCCACCCGCTTGTTCCTATTTATTAACGCGGCAACGGGGATTCCAAGATTCTCATACAAGTGACGATAATTACAATACAGTATTATAATAGGTTAACCAACCTATTTTATCATGTGTTTATATATATACAGCTATTTCAATTAAGGTTGTCCCAGAGCAAAGCGGAAAAGTCGAATACAAGCGCGAAAGGCTGCTGGGAATCGCTAATAAATTAATGAATTTATTAGGGATTCCCAGCAGCGTTTCACGCTAGTATTCGACTTTTCTGCTTTGCTTGGGGACAACCTTAATTGAAATAGCTGTATATATACTGTATGTTCATATTTCCTTTCGTTTACAGTGTAGTTTACAGTTACAATAAATATTACTAACACCAAATGTTGTCCATATATATAAGCCTACCCATGTATAAGCCCATAAAAATGCTTACGAACGGTATACTTTTTATTTCACTTCACATATATCCTCAGAGATATGAATCTCTGAGCTCAATGGGTAGAGCAGTCAAGTTTGAAATTTGAATAGATATGTCAAAATAAATATGAAAGTAGCTTAATTGTACTTGTATTACGTACATGGTAACCTTCCTTTTGACATAACCTTTTGTGGTCCTGTCCTTTTTTGCAAATACAATACACACGATTCTCGGTTTTATTGTATTATTTTAGGAAGCACACGCAATGGTTCTTGAGGCAAACATCAAACAGAGTAACGCCGAGAAAAAGTTTCGGGAGACACATAGCAAGGTACTGTATTTGGGAGAGGTCAGAGGAGTTACATTGATGTTTAATGATACCACAAACCTTTTTGCTAACGTTTGGCAAAAACCAATTCACAACTTACAACGTAGATAACTTGTATGCCAAGTTACTGTAGTTTTAGAAAAGCACACAATAAAATTATGTAGTTAAATACATGGTTAAATATGTAAACATCTAGAGGTTGTTTACACAGCCATATTTACTGTACTGTGCTACAGCAACTGTCCAGTCACGCGTACGTGATAAAAAACCGATAGAAACTTTATAAACAAAAGATAATGTAAAACGTAACAGAACGGCGAACATGCATATTTGGCCATCTCAAATAATGGTAATGTTGGGATAGTAGTGTTGCAGACTGCAGAGGAGAGTGGGCAGTAAGGCTCCCTCATGCACCACCCCATGGAAAACCTGCACCCCTCCTTGCAGATGAAGCTAGAAACGCCCATGGTTGTGAACCCTGTAAATCTGCCAGCCCTGCATTCCAGACAAAAACTTCCCTTTTTCCTCAGGTTGAAATGTTGGAAGCTGAAGTGGAAGCATTGAAAACTCTGGTGATAACATCGACGCCAAGCAAACCTGGCTTCCGAAGACGGAGTACAGAACAACTCAATAGTTGCAACTCATGTGGTTCTGTACATTGCATGAATTTAAATAATAACATTCATTCAGACGAGGGGAAATGTATCGAGGGCAGTGTACCAAACCAGGAGAGAGAGGTATCTTTTCATTTGCTTCTAAGAATTATGCTCTTGAATCTCTCTAATGTGGACATCTCTCTCTAATACACGCACTTCTCTAATATGGACATCTCTCTAATACAGACACTTCTCTAATATGGACACCTCTCTAATACAGACATCTCTCTAATATGGACACCTCTCTAATACAGACACCTCTCTCTAATACAGACACCTCTCTCTAATACAGACACCTCTCTAATACAGACACCTCTCTAATGCAGGCATTTCTCTAATACAGACACCTCTCTAATACAGACACCTCTCTAATACAGGCACCTCTCTAATATGGACACCTCTCTAATACATACATCTCTCTCTAATACAGACATCTCTCTAATACAGACACCTCTCTCTAATACAGACACCTCTCTAATACAGACACCTCTCTCTAATATAAACACCTCTCTAATACAGACACCTCTCTCTAATACAGACATCTCTCTAATACAAACACCTCTCTAATATAGACACCTCTCTCTAATACAGACACCTCTCTAATACAGACACCTCTCTAATACAGACACCTCTCTCTAATACAGACACCTCTCTCTAATACAAACACCTCTCTCTAATGCAGACATCTCTCTAATACAAACACCTCTCTAATACAAACACCTCTCTAATACAGACACCTCTCTCTAATACAAACACCTCTCTCTAATACAGGCACTTCTCTAATATGGACACCTCTCTAATACATACATCTCTCTAATATGGACACCTCTCTCTAATACAGACATCTCTCTAATACAGACACCTCTCTCTAATACAGACACCTCTCTAATACAGACACCTCTCTAATGCAGGCATTTCTCTAAAACAGACACCTCTCTAATACAGACACCTCTCTAATACAGGCACCTCTCTAATATGGACACCTCTCTAATACAGGCACCTCTCTAATATGGACACCTCTCTAATACATACATCTCTCTCTAATACAGACACCTCTCTAATACAGACACCTCTCTCTAATACAGACACCTCTCTCTAATACAGACACCTCTCTCTAATACAGACACCTCTCTCTAATACAAACACCTCTCTAATACA